AACGTATTCATCTTGTTCAGTTATACTACTTCTGGCTCGAAAAAATTGTTCTGTAAATTTTTCAGTTCTGAACCCTCCTCCCCCTCTTACCGTATACCATCGATTTGATAATCTGGTTCATGTTCATAGGATATCATGTTCTGACAAGGGTTGAAGTAATATTCTCGGATATACAGGGTGTCCGGAGATAAAATCGACAAGACTTGTGGGGTTATAGGGACTGTCAATATGATTGCAAAATGCCATAAACCAATGTCCAAAACCGCTTCGTTATTGACATACAGAGTGATTTGTGGATTTTGACAAAAAATTCAATCCGCCATATCAAATACAGGGATTAACCGATTAGATTCAAATTTGGTACACGAATTACACTGAGAAGCATCAACAAGTAGTAGTTTGATCGAAACCAATATCAGGACCGGAATGATATTTTTTCCCTATGTTGAGTTATTGTGAGAATAACTCACCCTGTATAATAATAACATAAAATTTCAGCTCAGATTCGACATCTACGGTGAAAATTGTATAGGAATTTGTTGAAAAATCTCCTGGCACTATCTTAGTTACTCCGTAATTATTTATCATTTTAATTTTTTTCTTTCAAAATTCAATTATTGTCGGATAAAGTACTATCAAAATTGGTAATATAATAAATATTAACGAAACCATGACATGAATATCGTTATTTTCTCCAATCAGTCCGTAAATCGTAGTGAAATAAAATACTCTCATCACCCGAAAAAACTGAAAAATAAATTGGTATCAGGACTGGAATGCGGTTTTCTATGCTTATATTCCTGTAAGAATAGATGATCTAGTATAACAATGATCTGATCGCAGATTCGAAATGCACTGAGAAAAGTTAAAAACTTGTTGAAAAATTATCGGATTGAACTCTCAAATAATAAATCCGTATCAGTACCTTATAATGTTTGTGTATGAAGAATACTAGGCTTGTGTCAAATTCAGAATTTCATTATGGAAAACCATTGTTCAGCTGTCATCAGCGTTTGTGTTATTGGTGTTCATCCATTATTCCAGTGTTTTTAGGATCAAACTATAGTTCTGAGAGTGTGCTTATGATGCCGTTTCATTTCACTCATGAGGAATACGCAGATATTCTATTTGTGTTTGGGCTTTACCTGGTGATGTTTTCCCAAATTTCCTGGTCAATACTTGACCGGATCTATTGCAGATACCTGAGGTATATGGTTTCAGCATGATGGTGCTAGACCTCACTTTTCAGTTCCAGTTAGAAACCATCTCGATGACAATTACCCCAATAGATGGATTGGCCGTGGAGGTTCAGTAAATTGGCCACCGCTATTCCCTGATCTAACCCAGCTAGATTATTTTTTATGAGGTCATTTAAAGTAAGAAGTTCATAATGAAGAAATGTTTTATGGGAAATTACTGCTGCATGTGTTAGTGTTAGAAATAACCCTCAAATAATTCGCAAGTCAGTGAATCATATAATAGCACGCTCTCAAAAATGTATTGATGTTGGAGGGCTCCACTTCGAAAATGTTTTGTAATACTGGTTAGTGAAAGTTTTTCACAAATTCGTTGCTTTTGTTATGATAATTACAAACAGTTATTGTTCGTTGTGTAGTATTCTCATAAATCAGGTTAAACAGGTTCTTATAAGATTTTTTTAGATTCCGAATCTACGATCATATTATTGATAACTATTGATGTACTAGGTCAGCTAACATAACCAAACAAAACACTCATTCCAGTCCTGATACGAATTTATTCTTCAGTTTTTTCGGGTTATGAGAATATTTCATTTTACTCCGATTCATGAACTGATCGAAGAAAATAACGACATTCATGTCATGGTTACGTAAATATACGTACTTTATCCGACAATGATTGATTTTTCAATGAAAAAGATCAAAATGATAATTAATTACGGAATAAAGATGGTGCCAGGAGATTTTTCAACAAATTCCTATACAATTTTCACCGTAAATTGCGAATCTGAGTTGAAATTTTTGGTTATTATGATACAGGGTGAGTTATCCTAACAATAACTCAACATAGGGGAAAAATATTATTCCGGTCCTGATATTGGTTTCGATCAAAGGGCTACTTGTTGATGCTTTTCAGTGTAATTCGTGTACCAAATTTGAACCCAATCGGCTAATCCCTGTATTTTTTATGGCGGATTGAATTTTTTGTCAAAATCCGCAAATCACTCTGTATCTCAGTAACGAAGCCGTTTTGGACATTCGTTTGTGGCATTTTGCAATCATATTGACAGTCCCTATAACCCCATGAGTTTTGTCGGTTTTATCTCCGGACACCCTGTATAATTGCGACGATCTGCCACTACCTTAGTAGCTCAGTAAAACGGTTACAATTAGGTCCCAATCCGGGAAAAAAATCAAGTAGTCGGTTTCTTTGTGGTTTTATATATTATTGGAGGTGCTGAATTCGAATCTGAATTTTGCAAACGAAATTTCATGGAGCGTTCCGAGATATTAGCATTGAACAGCGAAGTTTTTCGCACTTTTCTCGGTTTTTTTGCCCGTAACTCGGAATCCATATGTTATATCGAAAAGACGGCCCAACAAAAATTTGGAGTAGATGAAATTTCCTATAAAAAAGTGTTCTTACTGGAGGTTGCAGGGATAGAGCCAGTTGAAAATTTACCAAATTTGAGTCAAAAAAAACATTTCTCGTCGGTTTTCGCAGATAATTCATATTTACATATTACTCAGAGACAGAGCATCATGCACACATCGAAAGAGCATCAAATTTTCTATCGAGCTTATGTAGATGTCGTCATTATGAGAAAGATGAACGGCTGTTAGAGCGCTCGAACGGAGACGTCTTTTAGTCGTAGTTGCCACATTTATGGGCATCCGTTCAACTTATATGATTTGGATTATATAAATCTATATTCATCAAAGCTCTTCAACGTATAAATAGGTCATTGTTTTGTTTCTGTGATTGTGGGGTGGGGGACAAAGACAAAATCGAAATTCTGTACGCGATACAATAATTCCAAATGCTGTAGGGTATTCTTTGAACATTCTGATAACAAACTGATAAACCATTCAAACTATCAGAATTATTTATTTTGTGATGAATAATTATCAGAATCAATTCTTGCTCATGTGGGTTCCAAGGCGTCAAGGGAATGAGGCAGCTAGCAAAAAAGTGCAGACCTCACATTTCACCTTCCTGTGAGACAAGCAATCGCCACCTCATCACAGAGCTCAGAAACTTTGAATGAAATGAAAAATCCTACTACTGTTGAGCAACTCCAAGTAAATGAGGAGGAATGAGTTCTTCAACAATTCGTAAACTAGTGAGTCTCAGCAAACAAGAGCTGGAGCACTACCATCTGAGCTATTACTAAAGCAATGAGTCTAGAGGAGACCGACACTAAACCGCGGAGCACCTTTGTTCATGGGTTCATGTAATGTACCAGTCCGCCAAAGGCTGACTACCCTAGAACAGGTCTAGATAAGGCCTGTTGAGGCAGGAAATTCAACCGTCAAGAAAATATTAGGTTTCATTAGAAGTCTAGGGTAAAAGAAAGCAATCAATCAGATGAGGGTGATCCCATAATCGGAAATCTAATCGTCAATACATCGCCGTTTGGCAGGGGACTGTCACCCTGAAGGACCCGTTTCTGAGGATGGTGGTGCAGGTGGAAAGAATAGTGTTTCCTCCAGGGTACTTCTATCCTCTATACGATGGTCTGGAAGAGAAATTGATAGACATTACTATATGCAAGGAATCTAGCCAGATAATGGGTTCAAGTATAACCTAATGAAACCCTATATAATGGCACACAACGTTCTAGGGACGTCTCTATTTAGTACAATTCAAGTTCGAATGTCCCAGACCAAAAATAAGTGTCCTTGGGACGTCTCAACCCGTACATCTCATGCAATGTCCGGGTAAGGACGTCCACGGAATGTGCCAGCGAGTACATCATTTCAAATGTCCAAGAAATAGCATCCCTTAGACGTCCCACGTGGTACATATTGTAGAATGTCCAAGCAAGGACGTCCTTGGTATGTCCCTGATGGGATATGATTTTAAAAGTTCCTTTAGGGACATCCATCGGATGTCCCGAATAGTAAATATTCTGGCTTGACTTCAGATCTTATATAATGTTCCTTCTAGACAACCATGGAATGTCCCTGATACTACATGCCTTCAAATATATCTGCACAGACGCCCTTAATATTTCCAGGATCGTATAAAAATCAAACTGTCCATTCTTCGAATGACCCTCAGGGATGTCCGTCGGATGTCCCAATTGGTACATGAACTGTACTTATCCAATGTCCTAGAAATTACGTCCTATGGACGTCCCAGTCGGTACTTTCAATATGTTGTCCCTGCGAGGACGTTACCTTACACCTCGCCGACGAGAGATTGCTCGCAGGCTATAAATACCCCCGTCAATGTTCTTCACGTGAGTCCATTGGACATCCTTGGTAAACTTTTTTTGGATCTATTGGGGACCTTCTACGGACCATCAACTCAACTGGATGTTCTCATCAGTTATGGAAGATCTGGTCCTAGAGGGACTCAAGAATTCAAGAATAATCCGTACGTCCCTGGGACATCCTATGGACATCCAATTGATATCCCGCAGCGTTGCTGAAAGGTTGTCCTCGATAGTTGTCTCAGGGACATCCCTCAAGGACGTCCCTAGTTGGTCCTCAAGTGAGACATTTGTGCGTTCCACAGACGTCCAATGGACGTCCACGGTACCAAATTCGAATGTCCCATGGACGTCCTGAATGTCCCGACAGGACGTCCTTAGGATATCCATGCGACATAATTGTGTTATTAGGGAAGTTTGATTGTAATAGATGTCAATAGTAGATAAAGCTGAGTTGAGCTCTAGTTGAGTTTGTCATGAATAATTCTTCATCGACATCAAGATCCTGGTCGTTCTCTAGATCAAACTGCACGATATTGCTGCAGTATTCTTCACAATTTGCACACATTTCCGTGGTAAACAGACCGGCTTTCTTGCAGCCGCAGTTCTTGATGCAGGACTTGCGACATCTGCACGACACAAGATGGAGGAGGTCTTCAGGAGCAGATGGGCTGTGTGCCGTTAACGGTATTCCTCCATCCCAAATGCTCAGGTGTCTTCGTGAAGGTATCCTTCTCCAGCCATAGTTGCACCTGCAGAAATACTCGCAATAAATGCTTGTTAACCTCAGCCCGTGTTGAAGGAAGAATGGCGATATTAGATGCCGACCTGTAGGCAGATGTCTCGAAGACCTCATACTCATGTCATATCAGTCAATGATTTTGATTGTTCCTGAGATGAATACAAGGCTGTCGAAAATATTTCTCCCGCCTTCATGAGGTCCTCCAAATATGCCTCAGGGTCACTGAATACTTTGAAGTGGTTTTTAATGTTACGGTGCTTGTTGAGCGTGTTCAGGGCCTCCGTTTTGCCTCTCCCAAATGAGGCCGAGGTCGTGTCACACCCGGTAACAGCATGTTAGAAGAATATGTGCTCTTTAATGTCATGATTAAGGGTGGTGCTTGGATGGTACAATTCATTGGTTACTCTGCCTCTTAAAGGTTTAAGACAAAATACGCTGGACGGAGACTATAAACCAACTATGAGGACTAGAAGGTCGACATCCTCACCTACGACAGTTACCCTCGCGTGGTTCTCTGCTTGACATGATGTCATACCGCACTCTTCAGTTTTCTTCGTGAACAAAATAATCAGACAGCTTTTATTATGGTCATTCGAAAGAAAGTGTTCTTGGGCGGCTGATGGAGACATAGCTGCAGAGAAGGACACTGCCACAGCAAATTTCTTCGTGGCCCTTCTCATTCTCTCAGCAATTTTGGCTTTGTCGTATTTATCGATAACGACTGTTGCTGTACTCTTGTAGTGACGACGAATATAGTCGATGTAGATATCACATATTACTCCACGAGTTTTATCTTTCCTCTATACCACCCTGTTTGAAAGAGAGCCTCCGGTCACGACGTACACCGTTTCTTGTGGGACGACATTCTTGGAAGTGGCTTGAAACTCTTATATAGAGTCGACTTCGTCCCTTTCTGCGAAAACCGACAAAAAACGCTATTTTTTTAGAAGTACGCAAATTTGGTCAATTCTCAACTCTATCTTCCCACTGGTTAGTCCTACATTCATGAGGAGCGATAATAATTATATTTAGGAAATTGTGTTCACTTAGACTTTCTATAGGACGGTATTCTCAATATAACGAATAATTTCCAAATTACGGATAAGAATTAAGCACCTCCAAATTACATATGAAACCACAAAGGAACCGACTACTTGATTTTTTTTTGGAAGTGCAAATACCATTTGATTGGTCCATAGATCAGTTTGAATCGCGGCACATTTGGATATTCGAGAAGAGAACATTATTATCTCATCATTTTTTATATGCTCTTCTAACTCTTCATCACGTGAAAGGGTATGTACGGAAAAACGGCAGCTGAAAAACCTCTGTACAGAGGATTTGACTCAGATTTAGGGTTGTTATATCTACCATTCAATTGGTATCGAATGGCATAATTCTTATCTCGATCGTTATCAAATCGCCAAATTAAGCGCAAATTGTCATACAGGAAAGTGCCATGACGGTGGAAATTATAGCAGCCGGCTTGGACTACGTATTGTGCAATGAGTGGAATTAAACCTCAACTCATCCTTCCTTAACTTCCTTTGGTATGGGTATGATTTGGGCTCAATCTTTCTGGTCATTTACTCATGTTACACGGTTGGCGTCTTCTCTTCTCAAGGGTGAATGCGTCTGATCCTGATGTGATCATTTGCTCCCTGCGATAACATATATAACATAGATGGATTATTTATAGTTCCACTTTGATTGATTCCAAATACGTGGAAACGATTGAAGCAGGATGAACAGTGGGATTATCGAGCAGGTCGACTAATGACAAAGCGGAAAGGATTGGTATATACTATATACTGCGTATTGTTATCATTTGGGCGTAACAATATGTTTGAGTGGGCAATACTGTTGGTATTTTCTAGTGATATATTTTGGAAACATTGACGCTCATATCATCGTGATGAATAATTTTATGATAAATATGATCTGTTGGTTGATCAAGTAGGTATACTATCACTTTTTCTGGATTTTTGGAACTATCTCACCTCGTTTCCTTGAATGAAATATGAGTATAATTCCAATATACTTGTAGTCGGGAAGAATCAGATGTTTTTCCTCAAAATATCACTGCGTTTGAAAATTGCATCAACCTGCGAACGAGACATTCAATCGAAAGTCAATATGACATCTTGTTCACATAATACTCGGAGAAATATCAAATTTTACCTACCTTCGGACTTTGCAAGAACGAATCTGCTCTAGAATTTACGAAAAAATGTTAGTTACTTACAAGGTGTTCTCAATGATTGATTATGAATTAACAATTTTCATGCTAAAATTTTTGCAGTACTACATATTTATATTTGATATATTTTTGGAAATATTCGTGGAAAGTAGTATATTTGGTTTACGAACAAATGTTAGTGACAAGATGTTCTCAATAATTGATTATGAATCAATAATTTTCATTCTTAAATTTTCGCAGTACACCGAAAAATGGGTTACTTTCATTCAAATGAATCAATACGCATTTCATTCGAAGAAATCGTGATCTTGGTTATGCCCAAGTTAATGTTCTCTTCAGAAATCAAAAATATTTTCTTGCTTTAAGATTGTCAAGATTTCCTACTGGAAAAAAAAATATTTGCCTCAGGAATAGAATCTTCAGGTACACGATACAATTCACTGGTCCTAAGTACTTGATTTTTTTGCCAAAAGAATCATATTCTATTCCTTCAAATCCACAGATACTCAGCCGAAGATACAAGGTGATTCATTGAAGATTATCATGGTGTGAGTGTAGAAGAAAGTTTTTTCTCCCAAGAATTAGAATGTTGACACAGATTTGATTCGATTCAGTTGAATGGAAATGTACCAACCACAATTTATTATGTTCTGAAATTGATTCAAGGTACTATCCCAAAACGATAATATATCACAGACTCGTTCAAAAATATTCATTATATACAAATACACCCAATATAATAATACACATAGGCACCTGATCAATACTTGATAACTTGAACTTCGAACTCATAATGACTCACACATAAATATGATACAAGATTTGATGAAAAACACATGATGAATGAAATGATCAACTTGTAGGTATGAGATTCACGAATATGAAGTTACTCAGCAAGTTGGGTATTTGAATGAGGAAATAGTCGAAATCCAATGACAAACGAAAAGCTCTAATATAATGTTCACATTTTATCCAATATTTCTGTCGGATGATGTCGCCTATATGTTAAATTCAATTAGGTTTTCAATCTGATCCTCTGTTGGATATGGCAGAAGGTAAGGTAAGGCTAATGTATATAATTCATTGTCAAATGGTTACAAAACACAATCATTGAGCTACTTGAAACATCATTACAAGCATGAATTAGTAGAAGAACAGGTTTTAAGTTTGCAGTATGGTCATTAGCTCATCTGGATTGGTTGCTATATGTTATATGAATTTATCTATCTGTTATGGCTTATGAGATCGGGGCGGGGGGGGCACGCCTGTGTAGATATATAATCATTTATATATATACACAGCCATGCATATAAATTAAAGATATATTGATGTAATCAAGAAGTGATATATGTGATTCAGTCACTATGTATGTTTAAGAAATCCATTGTCCCTTTTTATTGTGAGATAGAGGTTAAGTTAGAATAGCGTGAGCTAGACTTCGCCTCTCAACATTATACTTGTATTGTAATATGTACATTACCAAAACAATAAAGGCAATTTATTATTATTATTATTTTCTATGATTTTATCTGAAAATGAAAATGATCAATTGATGAAAAAGAGGTTTGCATGAAATACCTGATCCATGTATGTAAATATTGCATTTCATCTCTAGTTTTGTTTCATTAACGCTATAGACTAATGGAGAGAGAATCGCTATTCACTGAAATGAATGAAGATCAGACGAAAGGAATTCGACTTTAAAATACCTACTTGCTCTTGGATCAAGTAACTATGGTTCTACTCACCAAGGAATATGCAACGAACATGGAGGAAAAAAAAAGTAGGTAACCGTTGAAAGAGACGCCATCGAAAGATATATTCTATCATGCTCAATTTTTTTCATCTACATATTTCAGCTTGATAATACAGTGATTGAAATCTAGGAATCTTCTTATTCAATAAGAGTATGTTGTTCTTCAAACTTCGTATTGGTATATAGGTATACCTGATATTATTGCAATGCAAACAACTGGAATACATACTTACTCGTTATAATTCAATTACCTACAAATGTTTCCACAACTGAGACAGCTTGAGACTTGAACTCCAGAAATGTTTCTATTGATGGTAAAACCCGAGGTGGAACCACTATACAAATTGATTATTGATGATCATCGAATACACACAACATCAGAAACAGCACAAAATATGAATTAATGATACGCGAATGGCACTGACAGGGACAACTACCCACTACTGAACAGTTATTTTCGATACTCTAAGTGTCTTATTAAGGGCGCTGCAGTGTATAAAGCCTGAGTTTTTTTATAAGAATCTCAGATATTCTACCAAGATTCGTGATTTTTATTTCAAGTAGCACGAGTTAAATAAGTATAGTATGAGAAAATATTCTTGTGTAGGTAGGTCATAAGGTATTGTATCAGGAAACGATTCAAAGGAAAGTTTAATAGCAAGACAATTCAATGAATCAAACCATATTATTATGTGATAATTGTGAAATGATTTCAATGTAAATGTATTTTTATTTCAGATTATATTCTTCTTGTAATTATTGATTGTATATTATTGAACGCGTTTTTGCGGACGTCTTCTATACCCCTGTGAGAATTCTGTTATTACAAATAAATATTTTTTTATATTATATCAGAGATTTTGTTCTCCTCATTAGGTACCTAGGTCTTATTTCGAATTGATATCATTCAATATGCATATCCCTCGACCAAACGTGAAGGAAATATGAACTCTCCATTTATTTATTTGCAATATCTTGAAGAGTTTGATCGACGCTCCCAAAGTATTGGAGCAAGTAAAATTATATACTTAACAGCACAAGCTCTGCC